TCCTGCTGCCGTGGGAGCGGGTGTGAGGGCAGGGGCTGGGCTGGGGGCGCCCCAGCTGTCAGCCGTGGGACAGGATCGGTGTAAGTGCCCCTCCCTGCAAGGACCTCCCTGTGCTGTGGGACACCTGAGCTGACCGAAAGCTTTGGCCTCCGGAGCCGTGTGCTGCTAGAACAGGGCATTTCCCCTCCTTTGTCCCCGTGGGACAACCCCTGGAGCAGAGAACTCGGGTACAGTGGCGCCAGGCCCCGGCCTGACTCCCACAGCCCCAATGGCCACAGTTTGCCCATGGGGGACGTTGTGCTGCTACAATTTACAGTGTCCCCCACCCATTTCTGATGCTGGGTTCCATCCCAGCCCTTTCCACCCCGGGGACCCTCAGGGCGGGGCACTGAGCTGTGCTGCAGGAGAGCTGGTGTTTACCCTGCTGGGTAACACAGCCTTTGTCTGTGCCTCAGTTTCCCCCCGCATGGAAAGGCACTCCTGGCAGTGGGAAGGGAGCCCTGGCCGTTCCCTTCTCCTTGTGCAACCGGCCCTGCTCTCCCCAGTGCTGGCGGAAGCAGCTGGAGCTGCCTGCACACCGGGAGCTTCCTCGGAGCCCCGCGGGACTGAGGCTGGGAATGGACTGTTCCTTCCCCCTGCCCTGCTCTGAGGCTGGGGAGGAGTTTGGCTCCAAGCATGTGGGCTCTCAGCTCCTCCTGGCCAGTGTCCCCACAGCAGGGTGGCTTTTGGGGACATCTGCAATGAGGTGCTGGGCTGTGGGGAAGGTGCATGACGTGCTTGGAGCAGAATGGGGGGACAGGAATACTCTCTGCAGGCACTTTGAGCTGGAGCAGGAGGATGCCACACCCCTGGCTGTGCCCACTTACCTGGGCTGCTTTGTTCCTCCATGGAGGCAGGAATCCAAAGTCCAATTAGGGGGCTAATTATGGGGCTGCACTCGTTACCTTCTGTTCTGTTCTGTGCCGGTGACCCCTGTTCCCCATGGGCTGCCTGTGAGAGCTGGGGGTGCTCAGCAGCATCTTGTTTGCCATGCAGGATGGGCCGTTGGCAGCCAGACATTCCCCAGCAGCCAGAAAAAGCTTTGGCCACCCAGAGTGGCCAAACGCCCAGCCTGGCATGTGGCCAGGCCTCGCCCTTCCCAGTTTATCCCGTCGCCCTGGTTGTAGATCCTGGAGGTCCAGGCCTGGAAATCTACGTCCAGGGTGACACCAGGGTGTGATGTACGTGTGGCTCCGACAGATCCCTAATGCTGCTCCCCTCTGAGCTGGTGAGGTCCCCCATGTCTCTAGAGCTGTAAGGGATGGAGAGGCCACACTCTCTGCTGGGACCTGGACAGAGATTACGCAGCTGCAGGAGCCGGTTGTCCCTGCTGCGGGCCAGCCCTGCCCTGCCAGGCTCTGGCTCCGTGTTTATCTCCGATTGAGCAGCCGCGTCCCTGGGCGGGGTCAGCGCTCCAAGGGCGCCGTGCCTGCCGATCAGATCGGGGCACCTGCTCGGCACCAGCCTCTTGGGGAGCTCACAACCCCTCCAAAGGGCTTCTGGGCACAAAAATGAGGGTTCTTCTTAAAACAAGCCCAGCACACTCTTCAGGGCAGCGGCCCCAGAGGTGCTGTGCTCGTCTGTGGGGCCTGCGGGTGGGCTCAGAGCACAGCGGGGCTGCACAGCTGCACAGCGGTGCTTGGGGCAGGAAAGTGCTCAGGGCACCGTCCTAGGAAGCCCAGCCTTGGTTTGGGAAGGCTTAGGAGGGCCTTTCCTCCACGTTTGCATTCAAAGCTGCTTTGACCAAGCCAAGCCACTGTAAACAGCTTGGATGGGGCTCAGGATGTCTGCCCCATGAGGCTGGGCACTTGCCCAGGCTCAGCTGCTTCTCTTCCAGGGCAGCACTGTCATATTTATAATGGAAAAAACCCAGGCAAACACAGGAGCCTTTTAGCCTCCTGCCACACCTCTGCTACAATGTACATCATCTCAAGTTCACTGCAACTTGCTTGACACTGTCCCCTCAGGGACACTTTTCTTGTCCTACCAGGGCAAGCTGGTGGGGACAGGGATAGGGCGAGCTGGTGCCTGCCTGGAGGAAGGTGGGGAGCTGCTTCTTCCTCACAGTGCTGGAAGAGCAGCCTGGGCCCATTTGAGACCTGAGTGTTTCCCAGGGCTTGGTGACAAATCCTGGGGCGTTGGTGACTGTTCATGGGATGTCCCCATGACCCGAAAGTTTTTTCTGAGGCCCTGTCACCTGCATTTCTTCTGCTTCCAGCTCCAGGGTGCTGCTTGGGGTGTCTCAGGGCAGCCGAGGTGTCCTGGGGCTGGTTTGGGGGGATTTTGTACCTGGCTGATTTTGTCCTGGTCAGGTTGGGGTTTCCCTGTCCCTGCCTGCCCAAAGGGGACAGTGCACAAGTGTCCCCTGATGCCCCATGGCTGCTCACACACCTGTGTGTGCTCAGGGCAGGGGGTTGGTCCCAGGGGTGTCCCCAGGTGCTGTCCCACTGTCCCATCCAGGGGGTGCTGGCTTTCCCCAGGCTGTGCCCTGACGTGTCCCCTCTCCCCAGGCCTCAGCCAGCAGGGGCCATGCGATGCTCCCTGAAACGGTCCCTCATGGTTCTGCTCGCTGTCTCCTTCCTCCTCCTCCTCCTCCTCCATGGGAGCAGCCGGCAGGAACAGGATCCCCTGGAGGTGAGTCCCCAACCAGAGACATCCCATGGAGAGGCTAGTGGAGCATCCTCTATCCCTCCCTGCCCCACATGAACCCCAACCTCAGCTCTGCTCTCTTCCCTGCCCCCTGTCACCCCAACACCTCCCCACCTTCTCCTCTCCCCCGGGTTGCCCTGGGCAGATGGACCCCCCTGAATCCAGGAGTTGGGAGCACAGGACAGGGGCTCCCCTTCACTTCTGGGTCCCCCTCTTGTCATCCCTCCTTTGCTGCATGGTGCTCTGGGGTGTGACCTGTTGCCTGTGGCTCCCATGCAGGTGCAGCTCAGGGGCCTGGCTCCCAACATGATCCTGCAGCTGCTGCAGCCAGGGGGAGCCCAGCACATCCTCAGGGACACAGCTGAGCTCTCTGCACTCCACAACATCTCCTACCAGCTCCTCGCTGGCTCTCCGGCTCCCCAAAAAAGTGAGTGGTCCTGGACCCTGAGGGTGTGCACATCTGGGTGTGCACAGCTGCACATCCCAGCACAGACCTGCCCTCTGAGGGCTGCTGGGGCGGGGGGGGGGCTGGGTCCTGCCTTTTTGGGTGGGCACCTGCCCACAACCTCCACAGCCTTCACTGCTCACTCTGGGGATGGAGGAATTGGGGAAGCTCCACGTGCTCCACGCAGGTCCAAGTTTCTGCACCTTGGGACTGGGTGACTGCAGGTGTTTTGGGCTTCCCAGACCTCTCTTTGGGGGTTGCTGAGATCCCATCTCCCTGGGGTTGAGGTTCCAGTGGAGATAGTGAGCTGGACCACTGGGACAACCCCACAGTGTGGGAGGAGTGGGCCAAGCTCTTAGGCATGTGCACAAGAAGCAATTCCCATGCAAACCCTGTGGGAAGCAGCCCAGGGCAACCTGTGAGGCTGTGCAGGAACCAGCACAGGAATGGTGCTGTCCCAGCCATCAGCAAGAGAAGCTGAATCACTGCTGGGCCATAGGGAGGACACAAGGTGCCTGATCCCAGTGTGGGTGCATCTCCATGAGGCGTGAAGTGGGGAACGCTTCCAGGATGTGCAGCCATACCAATAAGCCATTTCTGCCCTATAAACTCTCTCTGCACTGCTACTTGCCTAGATTTGGCTTTTTTTAAGGTGTTTTTCAGGAATATTTCTTCAGTGGAGCCCCTGCCTCCTCAGCCTGCCTCTTGCTGCCATTTGGGCCAATTTTGGGCCTCTCCTGAGATGCTGAAGGCTTCAGCTTCAGGAAGGAGACAACAGCTTTAGACATGGGGTTACAAACAGCACTGACCCTGCAGGCTAGCCATGGGAAGAGATTTTTGGAGCCCTTTCATTACATCTTGAAGGGAAGAACATCACTGTGGTGATCCCAGCTCAGCCCTCTGCCTGTTCATGCCTTTCCTTTGCCTTGCAGAATTCCTGGCGGTGGGAATGGCATCCGTGCAGAGGCCACGTGGTTTCTACCTCCTGGCCACACTGCAGTCCCTGTTCAGCCAGTCCACAGAGGAGGAGCTGCAGGAGATGGTGGTGGTGGTGCACCTGGCTGACACTGATCCTGGCTGGAACGTGCGCGTTGCCGCCACCATCGCCCAGAAGTTTGCTCGCCACATCCTCCTGGGCCGCCTCCTGCTCATCCACGCTCCTCCTGAGTTCTACCCCACCCTGGAGGGCCTGAAGAGGAACTTCAATGATGCAGAGGAGCGGGTGAGGTTCCGCTCCAAGCAGAATGTGGACTATGCCTTCCTGCTCGCCTTCGCCGCCAACCTCTCCTCCTACTACCTGATGATCGAGGACGACGTGTGGAGCGCCAGGTCCTTCCTGACATCCATCCGCAGGGCACTGGCTTCCCAGGAGGGCTCCAACTGGGCCACCCTCGAATTCTCCAAGCTGGGCTACATCGGAAAGCTCTACCGCTCCAGTGACCTTCCTCGCCTGGCTCACTTCCTGCTCCTCTTCTACCAGGAAATGCCCTGTGACTGGCTGCTGGTCCACTTCCGCCAGCTGCTCACCCAGAAGGATGTGATACGCTTCAAGCCATCCCTCTTCCAGCACATGGGCCTCTACTCCTCCTTCCAGGGCACTGTCAACCGGCTGAAGGACGAGGATTTCCAGGCCGATGCCTTGGACCTCCCGGACAACCCGCCGGCATCCCTGTACACCAGCATGTCCATCTTTGAGAACTACAAGCCCCTCAAGGCCTACAGCTTGGCACAGGGCTACTTTTGGGGCAAAGACCCAGCAGCTGGCAGTACTTTTACCATCGTGTTCCAGCAGCCAGCCCGAGTCCGCCGTGTCCGGGTGCGCACGGGCTCTGTGGAGCGCCCAGGCGATTTCCTGCACGCAGGGCTGCTGGAGCTGGGCCAGCGCCGCGACCGCAGCCACGACTGCTCCTCCTACGTCCCTGTGGGCTCCTTCAAGAAGGGGACCCTGGAGCAGCAGGGCCTGGAGAAGGTCCTGCCTGGGCCCGTGGAGTGCGTGAGGATCCGGGTGACCCAGGACCAGAGCGAGTGGCTCATCATCCAGAGCATCGACATCTGGACCACAGCAGGCACCTGAGCACACCTGTGGCAGGATGTCAAAGCAGCTGGATTTGGTTCCTTTATTTTTCACATTGCCTTTTTGGATAAGAAATTAAGTTATTGGCTCTCACTGCTCCGTGTGTGGAGAGATGGGAACCACTGCTGTGGGCTGCAGATGGGTCTAAGAGCAGGGCCCATCAGAATGTACCTGCTGGGGATGCCCCAATGAGCCAAGGAGGGGACACAAGAAGGGGAAGGTGCTTGGGAATTCAGGGCTGAGCAGCAGAAAACCTTTCCTCCTGGGGAGGATGATGTACAGGACAAAGCTGATCAGCTAATTAACAAACCAAATAATTCATCAGGCAGTGGTTTGGTTTTTTTTTGGAGCCTCTCCACACCTTACCTGCTATAAGTTTTCTAACTTTTTCCAAAACTCTCAATTTCTAATTCCCTTCTCTCTGATCCCATTTCCCAGCTGCTCCTGGAGGGGTCAGGGGAAAGTCTGGGGGTGCTGCTCACCAAACCCTTCACCCTGCAGGCTCAGCAAGCTCCCACTGGTGCCCGGCCATTTCCCGGTGCCGATCGGGGGCGACGGCCACCAGATGGACCCATCGGCCCGGCAGCGGGCAGCGCCTCCCACCAGCGCTCCTTGTTCCCGCCCTCCAAGAGAAAAAAACCAGTTGCCAGGGACTTCACTTCGTGTTTTTGCTTGGTTCACACGGAGCGGGAAGGACAGGCAAGATGGGGCATCCAGAAAGGCGAGGAACGCACAGAATTGAGCACCAGGGAACAAAGATAAGCCAATGAAAATGTGACCTTGGTATAATGTGAAGCTCTGGGTCCTTTTTAGCCCAGTGAGGTGCTGAAGGGTAACTGGGGTACACAAAGGATCCCAAAAGCTGCTGTTTGGGTTTGTCTGGCTGGGCCAGCTTGGAGCGCTGGATGCTCCACTAGCAGCTGTGGGCCCCAGCACGCCGGGCAGTGACTGGTACCTCTCCCAGTTAGGCTTTTAGCAACAATTTCTCAGCTTCCTGCAAAGGAAGAATTCCAGTCTGCTCAGCATTCCCATGGGATAGCCCAGAGAACTCACTGACCTGTGCCAAGCAGGACCCTGCTCTGCCCATGTTCCAAGCCTGGCTCTCCTGGAGCAGGGCAGTCACTGCCAGCAGGGAGCAGTGCCACTCCTGCAGCACCATAACCACAGCTCTGGTTTGAGGTGGCATCAGCTCACCTGCTGGGCACTCGCAGGCAGATGGAGCCCCAGACCTGGCATGATGGGGTTTTTCCCCTGAAAAAAAGCCACTCAGGGAGTAGATCTTTGCATTTAATATGGAGGTGCTACACCATAAACTTCAAATATTCTCAGTGGGATCAATACACACGGCAGAACCACTGCAGCTTCCTCCACACAGCCCAAGTCCTGTCAGAGCTCTTGGAGTGTTCTGAGTGGCACAAGTGTCCACTTCCCAGGGCCCGGAAAGGTGTTTCCAGTGCTCCAGGAGAGCCTTTGCCCCAGTTCTCTTGGACACAAATGCTCCTGCCCACTGTGGGAGAACACCAAGGGTCACCAGTGTGGGCACAAATCAAGAGGTTTCACCCCAGAAAGTTTTTATCTACAGGTAAAGCGCAAAAAGATAGAAATGTAAATCAGCTTTTTACCTGTTGGACTCTTACTGATGTAGGTACTAACAGGTTTTGTGATATCCACATGCCCAGAAGCAAGCTGCAGTCTCAGTTATGCTGGTGTAAACCTGGACAGACTCCAGAGGCATGGAAATCTCTCCATTTACATCAGGATAAGCAGAAGCGGCAGTGTGCACTGGCAGAAACTCCCTCCCCTTTGTTCCTGTGTGGCTCAGCACCACAATGCCCAAGGACCATCAGTGCATACTGGAGGAGGAGGTGGTTGCTGCATCCTGGAGAAACATCACATAATTTATCCCACATCAAAATTCTCCCACCATTTTTATCCCAGGAGGACTCAGCCAGCTCCCAGCGCTCTGCTCCCAGCCCCTGTCCCTCTGGGGTGGGCTGATGGAGTCCCATGGCTGGGCAGGGGAAGGGCAGGGGACATGACCAGGGAAGCCTTGGGGCTGCTGCTCCCTCTGGAGATGTGGATCAGGGAGGGCTGGAGGTTCCATTCTGACGCCGGGCTGTCCTGCTGCGGCAGGGCCTAGCTCAGCATCTT